AAAAAAACAGGATAGAGAGTGTCAATAGACAAAATAACAAAGAAGGATCTGTTTTAAAAAACAGGATAGAGAGTGTCAATAGACAAAATAACAAAGAAGGATCTGTTTTAAAAAACAGGATAGAGAGTGTCAATAGACAAAATAACAAAGACGGATCTATTTTTATACACGTTAAAATTATTACTTTGAACCCCAAAAATGAAATGAGAGAGAGTAATTTAGTATAATGAAAATGCTATTTATGTAAATGATGTTTGAAATTTATAATATCAAATACGTAGAATAGTTTCTCTACGATAACGTAGCTATAAATTGATATGTAAACTAAGTACAAGTTATGTGATCACGTACGTTACAATAATTATTTTGTTGGCCTTAAACATTAACCTTCTCTAAGCCTAATAAACAACATAGTTATATATTAACTGAAAACTTGTTTTCACAATGTTTAATTTCAACATAGAAATGTTGAAAGCATATTGATAGTGTTTGTTTTTGTGTAGTTAACCAAATCACTGTTTTAGTGTAACTGTATTTCTAATAACATGTAATCAACTTCGTTGATAATGTAAACCTCGCACTAAAATAACAGAAAAATCAGACTCTTTTTTTCTAAACAGACACCAGAAGACTGCCATGATAGGATTAAATATAGAGATTGTAAAATGGAAAGGATCCATTTGTTGTTGTTTCTACAGGCCATTAAGTTAATAATATTTTTAATATTTCCATACCTTTTGTACTTGTACAGGCAATAACCAGACGGTGTATTGTTTTAACAATATGGTTTCCTTTCGAAACAAATGAAAATATAGGAACATTACCTGTGTTATCATCATCCACAAACATTAAATGTGTTATCATCATCCTCAAACATTACCTGTGTTATCATCATCCTCAAACATTACATGTGTTATCATCATCCTCAAACATTACCTGTGTTATCATCATCCTCAAACATTACATGTGTTATCATCATCCTCAAACATTACATGTGTTATCATCATCCACAAACATTACCTGTGTTATCATCATCCTCAAACATTACATGTGTTATCATCATCCTCAAACATTACCTGTGTTAACATCATCCACAAACATTACCTGTGTTATCATCATCCTCAAACATTACCTGTGTTATCATCATCCTCAAACATTACATGTGTTATCATCATCCTCAAACATTACCTGTGTTATCATCATCCTCAAACATTACATGTGTTATCATCATCCTCAAACATTACCTGTGTTATCATCATCCACAAACATTACCTGTGTTATCATCATCCTCAAACATTACATGTGTTATCATCATCCACAAACATTACCTGTGTTATCATCATCCTCAAACATTTTATGAAGTCTTATCAGGCTATATTCGATCTTCGTTGAACGCCAGTATAATGGAGTAATGCTGATGTTTGGTAATATGGAAGTATGCATGCGTAGCAAGGAATGTAGTGTGAAGCATGCATGTGTAGCAAGGAGTGTAGTGTGAAGTATGCATGTGTAGCAAGGAATGTAGTGTGAAGTATGCATGTGTAGCAAGGAATGTAGTGTGAAGTATGCATGTGTAGCAAGGAATGTAATGTGAAGTATGCATGTGTAGCAAGGAATGTAATATGAAGTATGCATGTGTAGTAAGGAATGTAATGTGAAGTATGCATGTGTAGCAAGGAATGTAATGTGAAGTATGCATGTGTAGCAAGGAATGTAGTGTGAAGTATGCATGTGTAGCAAGGAATGTAATGTGAAGTATGTATGTGTAGCAAGGAATGTAATGTGAAGTATGCATGTGTAGCAAGGAATGTAATGTGAAGTATGCATGTGTAGCAAGGAATTTAATGTGAAGTATGCATGTGTAGCAAGGAATGTAATGTGAAGTATGCATGTGTAGCAAGGAATTTAATGTGAAGTATGCATGTGTAGCAAGGAATGTAATGTGAAGTATGCATGTGTAGTGAAGAATGTAGTGTAACATACATTGATGCTTATCTTGGCCAACCAGCTTGTAAATCACATTTGTGTCTATGGTAAGGAAAAACCTTTGTAACATGGTAGCAGCACTAATTGTTACATGATTCTAGAGACTCAGATTTCGTATTTTCCGTACTCTAAGTGATTTCTTAGATAAAATAAAATTATAGAGAATATTATAGATTCTATAAGATCTTTGCTGTATGGAAATAGATGAGAATGTGTTGAATTAACATCACTATTTCACGTAACTGAGCTAAACAGTTGTTACTGGCATTGTTCCAATAGCCTACTCAAAGCACATAATCTGGATCATTTAATCAGGTTAACCGAAAATGCCAAACAAACACATGTACAACGAACACAAACCGTTAACGGCACGAAACACATCTGTACACTTAGCTCACAATGTTTTCAGATCTGGTAACGTGTCACGTGGTCTGTGAAGGATGAAATTCAATCAAGGATCCGAGTAGATCTGAAACTGGTCTTGTATCAACACAGCTTGGTTTTCCCTTCTTCTCTAAAGTCCCTAAGTATGCTTCATTTGATGAACTTGTAATTTAATTACTACTTAATTAGAATTTGTAAGTACTTTACTGAAAAACAAAAATTAAGTAAAGTTGGTCGCAAACTGTCATGTTTTCAAACAAAATATTGGAAGTTAGTACTTTCCAGAAATCTGAGTTTATAATATTATATGGATGTTAATAATTCCTCCTGAGTTTATAATATTATATGGATGTTAATAAATCATCCTGAGTTTATAATATTATATGGATGTTAATAAATCATCCTGAGTTTATAATATTATATGGATGTTAGTAATTCATCCTGAGTTTATGATATTATATGGATGTTAATAAATCATCCTGAGTTTATAATATTATATGGATGTTAATAATTCATCCTGAGTTTATAATATTATATGGATGTTAATAATTCATCCTGAGTTTATAATATTATATGGATGTTAATAATTCATCCTGAG